ATCAGCAGCTCCTTAAAACAGCACTCAAGGGTGCAGGCAAGTGAATGTGCTGCTTGTGGCTGTAGGCCAGGTGAAGGAGAGCTTTTGCTCTCATGGTGGGCTGGCTGCTTGCTTTACAGCAAATGATCTTTTGCCCTCTGACAGTCCAGCTGTGTATAGAGCAGTGTTTGCTTTCTGTAATGTCAGTGAGAGGTACAGTTGAGCAGGAAAATGGTGCTCTGAGTGGCTTTTCCATAGACTGCTCCTTGCCAACCTGGATTATGCTTTAATATTTTAATTTTTCCCATTCCTTTGTCAAGCCTGCAGGAAATTCACCATTTCCATTATTTCCACAAGCCTCACTTGCACTCACTTTGTGAAGTCTTTGAATCCACAGGATCAAATCAAAGCTACTCCTTTTGACCATCCAAATTACAAACACACTGACTGTGATGCATTATTTTAAAATTGCCTGTTAAAATATAAAAGAATTTCCAAATATTTTTAATAACTCCCTAAAACAGTCTAAGGACATCTGTTAAAGTATTGAATTTCCTTAAAGACAGCACTGGTTGGGATTGCTTCAGCTGCAAATTAAGGTTGTCAGTCAAAGTGCTTTTTCTGTTTTAGTATCCCATCTAGGAGTTTTTAGCATCTCTTCCAAAGTGAGCCAAAGAAAGACAGCTAGGGACCTGTTAGGGCTTGTTTTGCCATGTATTTAACCTAGCAAACAATCAGTCGATACCTTTTGCAAAGTCTTCTATATTTTGCTGGATACCTCACTGCTTAGTGAGGAAACAAGCTATACTGTTTTGATGTATTTTTGTACTTTTCACATTCTTTATTCTGCAGCATGTGTCCAACGTTTTAATATATTGAGTACCTGTGGCAACTTCTTTTGTGTGTCTACAAACATTTACATTATCGTTAAGTCATTGAGTCTGCTAATGAGAGGCTGGAGTAAGAGGCAGAATGATGTATTTATTATGTAGTATTTCCTGCAGAGGTGAATAATAGATTCATGGTGGGCTGGAAGTAGTTAACCAGCCCAAAGAGTCCTTAAAAGATCCCAGCCTCACCTGCCCCCAGAAATGGAGCTGCAGCCCAGAGCGTGGTGGGATCCTCCATCGGTGTCCTGCAAGGAAAACGCTTGAAATAAATCAGAAGCAAACAGGAAAACATGCAGAAGGGAAAAAAAATGCATCCTACTCCCATCGATGTCTGTACCTCAGTTTCTCCAGCCAAATGATCAAAGGAACCACTGGAAAGAAACAATAACATAAAATAGTGTCGGAAAGGAGGTGACCACTGATTTAATTTGCAAAGTTGCGTAGGAAGTTAAATCGAAGGCTGTAGTTCAGTGCAGTGCGATGGGATGGCTAAGATGGACGTGAACTGGGACTCTGCTACCACAACACAGTTAATAGAGGGTTGTTGTAAAGAGGTTAAAGTGGTAACAGCCGAGTCTGGGCATAACGAGCAAGTCAGTGGCAGCACGTGGGCTGGGAGCAGCATCTACTCTTGCGAAGAGAGGTGCAGGGAAACCTTGTTGTCCTGTTTGTAATGAGAGGAAGAAGAACAAATGGCAGAGAACGAGATTTCTCAGTACATCAGATAGCACGCAGGCAGTGAAATATGTAGGGTTATTGTGTGATTGTTGATATGAGATGTATTTTATCTCAAATGTGCTTTTCTGAAGAATTGGGTAGAACCTTTTGGAAAGAAACAGGTAGACAAAGAGAAAAAGATTATTTTCTCTACTTTTCTGAACCCGGAAGAATACTTAATCCAGTTTTCTGTTCACTTCAGTTTTCTTTGCATCAAGTCCGAGAGTAAAATATATTTATTTCTTTAATGTTATTTGTCTGGAAAGATTCAGAACTAGATTGTTGCATATTATACTTCAGAAATGTGGTGTGTCTCATACTTACAGTGTTATAATTAGAGTCAGACGTGCTTATTTATTGCATGCTGATAGTCTAACTCCAGGTCTATCAAGTGTTATGACAGTTTGTGAGAATACTATTTCACTATGTAATTATTTTTATTGTGGTGACGATGGCACGTTGATCTAGATTTCCATTTGCTCCTGTGCATCAGAATACTTAATTTTGTGTCATAACGTGAAAGTGTAAGAGAAGTGAAGGGTTTCGCCTTTTCAGTTACAATTTCTAGCTGTTTTAAGGATTCTTTAATGCTTTAATTATTTTTGTTCTGTGTGATTGAAGGAAGCTGGCATCATCACCAAGCTTGCAACAGAGGAAACATTTTTTAAATGTTCAGTGTGTAAAAGATGTCAGTGTTCTTACCTTTGTAAACAGAAGATGATGGACAGAAAATCTGCAGAATTTTCAGCAAAAGGGAGTAATTTTTTCAGCTCTTTTTCATTTCTTAATGGAAGAAGAATTATGGAAATGAGAGCGGGCATTGCATTAAGTGCTTGAAATGTTCCTTCCCTGCAGACCAATAGAAACATAACTCTTCCATTAGGGAAATTTAGATTTTTGAAGGCTGCATGAATCTGAGCTCTGAATCAGTGAATGAGATGACTATGCTGGGGTAAGCATTTCAAGATCTGATTATGTATTTTAAGTCTTTCGTAGGTGGATACCAGCTCTTAGCTTGTCTTGTAAGACTTCTTTGGAGCAACTTTTTCTGTGACTCTTTTTATGTTAACCGCTTGGCTTATCTTATAGTACTTCCGTAGTGCAATCTCCTGTTATGCAGATCAGTAACAGAGTTTCAAAGCCATGGGGATTGAATGATTTTTCCTACCTGAATTTGGACTAGAAGGTTTCCTGGCCTTTTCCAAACACTCTAGCTACTTGCATAACTCCATAAACAAAAGTCAAATAGTGAAAGTCAAAAATGTGACCTTTCTGTGCTTGATATGGCATGTTTATAGTGGTTATAGTCTCACCTATGACTATAGATTATGCTGATTGTAGCTATCTTTCTTTAAAAATATCCTTCATCTGTAAGTGTGAAATGAAAATGTAGCAGTAAACTGCTATCGCTGGGGGTGTTCAAATTAGGTCCCTGATCAGGGCTGCAGAGAATTAATACCACAGCAAGTGGGTATTCAAGTGAAGCCATCTTTTTTTCTGTGCTATTAACCATAAAATAGTAATCAACATTAATTTCTAGGTTCTAGAAGAACACAAATAAAAATGAATAAAAAACAACAAAATCTTTACCAGTCATTACCACTGCTCCTTACTTCTAACTTATTAATTGTATTTCAGTTTCAGATACTATATTACTTAAGCTGTCAAACACATCACAGAGCTATATAAGGATGATTTGTCCTCATTAGGTGTATGAGGACACAAAGACACCAAGAGCTTCTGAAACTTGTCCAAGGTCTGGAAATGATTAAGTGGAATTCTTTCTTTTTATTATTTTTATTTAGTTGTAAATAGTCTGAATGTAGCCATAATGGTCTAATTATAATTGATCAAACAAATCTCATTTCCCCCTTTTTTGCTGAAGGGCTGATCCTGTGAGTTCATGCAGCACAAATATTTAAGGTACCAAATGTAATTATTGTGAATATTTGTTCCCATGTGGGGCTGGTTTTGTTTTAGTTTTCTGAGGTTTGTTTTCTGCAAACACTGCTGGGAATCGTTTACCCATCACTACAAGTGTTCCTTGAAGCTCCAGCCCATCACAGGACTCCCATGAGTGCATTCCTGTGCTCCTGTTATGTTTTATATGCAGACAACCTAGTCCTTCTGCCATGATCCAGAAAAATGGCATCAATGCAAATATTAGTTATGTTCCTTATAAATTCAAGAGGCAAGGAGAACATGCCTGACCTACACGATCCTCCATCCCCATCCTGATTATTCATTCCTAATGGAAAGATTTTGAAACATTGGAAAGAGACTTTGATATAGGAAGCACATGGACATAAAATTTGGAACTCCTTGCTGATTTTCTTGCTGTTTTATGCCCTCTACCAATCCTATGGCTTAGTCAGTTGATTAATTTAATCAGCTGCCTGCTTTAGACATTATGAAGAGATACTGGCAGTGAATTTCCACCTCACACATTAGTAGATTTTTGGCTGATTTAAGTTGGGGTCACCCTGCGCTAGTGCCTTAGTTGCCTAATAGCCCCTGAGAAACCAGCTGTGTGGGCTGGGGCTGCCTGTAGAAAACACGAGTTCCCGGGTGTCTTGGATGCGTTTGCACACAGAAGGAGCCAGATGGTTTTCTCTGTGGGTTTTCTTTGGCTTCGCTCTGCGGGAGAAATACCTGAGATGGATGCTGCCAGGTAGCTGTGTGGCTCCTGTGTGTTAACAGCTGCTCTAACTCTTCTCTCAGAGGTATATTTAAAGCATAAAAATGAAAAATGGGCAGAAATCTGTGTGGTCAGGCGGGGAGTGGAGAGGACTTCATGTCTTGTGTATCTCCAGACCCAATGGGATGGGTCTGGTCCCAAGCTGGCATCTCAGACTGGAATATGGTGGTGGTACATGCCGGGTGCCAGATGGTTCATAAGTGCTTTGAGATCAAAGGCACTTTCTACATGTTAATAAGGTTTTCTCGTTCCCAGCCATTGGGCACAGCTCACTCACGTGGCCGTGCGGCACACAGACACAGTCACCCATTGGAGTCATCTGAAGCTGTGTGCAATATTGCAGATTTGACTCTGAAATGCACTGCTGCAGTCAGCCACCCTCCCAAAACACCATGACCTTCAGGAAGCTTAGGTCAGGTCCCCTATCACCTGCACATTTTAAAATAGCAGGTTGGTTGGCTTATACTGGCAATAAAGCTAACCATCCCTAAAACAAGGCTAGTCTCTGGGACATTATCTGGGCCAGAGGTATGGACTATGGTTTTATCCTGGAAATAAAAATTAATGCAGGGTAGCCCGCACCTCAACCACACGCCCAACCTCGGGGCCATTAACAGCAGCCCAACAGCGTTAGGCAAAGCTCTGGGTGTCTCAAGCAGGCTGGTCATGGGCAGCCGTCCCCGTCTCACGTGCTTGCTCTCGTGGTCTCGTTCCAGGGCAATCCACTGTACTTCCAGTCTGCCAGAAATGTGACAGTGAACATCCTCAATGAGAAGACTAAAGTTCTTACTCGTCTTGTAACAGGTAAGGAGGGGGAAAGGCTGCGTGGCAGAATTAAGGAGGGATGAAAGCGGGTGTGTTGTGGGATGCTGTGTTGGCTTTAGCACACAGGAGGAGAGCCCAGGTGTCTTGTGAAGTACTTCGCTCCACTTTGTAGAAACAAAGCTAGAGACATGAAAGCCGTGCTGGAGAGGCAGCTGGCTGGTGCTTTCTGATCATGAAGCAGACCATCGTTTTCATTTGAAAGCCAATCCAGAGACAGAAAGGTTACTTGTACGACTTCAGGGTCAAGAAGAACATATGCAGGGTGACATTTCTGTTGTAACAGGCACAGGCTTTTCCTGAGACACTTCTAACTGGCCTGAGAGCTTGGGAACTCTGCTGATGAGCTGTGGCTGGGTTGGGACGCTTTGCAGTTTAGAGCTCTCTGTGCCCTTCTGCTGATGAAGAACGCTCTCGTGCTCCCAAGCATGAGTGTGTTTGATGGGGAAATGAGTGTTTCATAAATCCCCAGTGCACGGCAGCCTTTGAATGAATGCATGTGTAATTTGGATTGAAAGAGCCTAATGCATTATATATTCTAATATATAATATATATGATATAGGATAGATATTTATTTATTGAGATTTATCTAGGGACTGGGAGAAGCATTGCTGTGGCAGAGCCAGTAATCCATAAACATGTTGTTTCTACGTGAGACTGGGTTGTTTGGTTTGCTTATATAACATCTTGGCCTCTAGTCACAGTATTAAATAATTAAATATGCAGCTTCAGTAAGCGATGATTTAAGCAGCACACAGGAAAATTGCCTGGAGGGAGGAAATAAATTCAACCCCAAGCTCCCTGATTCTCACATTCAGAATGAGTGTGTTTAGTTCGTTGGTTCTCCATATATTTTCAAGAGGGTATTTGGTTCACTTAAGCACCTTCATTTCACGAGAGCTTGGGAGGACACGGTCAGTGATGTCTCCCGGCATGATCTTCTGGTTATTGAGCTCATTTCTGCATTCGGCAGCAGCTTTGATTTCAGAGCGGAGCAAAGACATGGTCCCATGTAGTGCGTGCTGCAGTGATGAGTAGGGAGGCAGTTAATTAGCAAGATACAAATCAAACTTAAAGCTTGAAAGTACTGGATTTACTCAGAATGGCTGCAAGATTTTTAAGTGTTTCCAGGGATCTCGGCATAGCCTCGCTTTTCTGTAGTACGAATCATGCACGTGATTCTTTGTGTGCCCTGATGCCAATACAGATGACCTGTGCAGGGAAACGCTGCGTATAGATTAAGCTTGAACCTGCCTATAAGAAAATAACTGGCTTTCAGGTCTTATTTCTCTTGTCTTTTGAGAAATGGGACTAGTCAGGAAGATGGCCAGAAGTAATGCGAAGTCCGATCACCTGCCTTGTGCAGTAGCATATTCCAGAGAGGCTGGGGGGTGGGCTGGGGTTGCATGCTGCAGTGATGAGTAGGGAGGCAGTTAATTAGCAAGATACAAATCAAACTTAAAGCTTGAAAGTACTGGATTTACTCAGAATGGCTGCAAGATTTTTAAGTGTTTCCAGGGATCTCGGCATAGCCTCGCTTTTCTGTAGTACGAATCATGCACGTGATTCTTTGTGTGCCCTGATGCCAATACAGATGACCTGTGCAGGGAAACGCTGCGTATAGATTAAGCTTGAACCTGCCTATAAGAAAATAACTGGCTTTCAGGTCTTATTTCTCTTGTCTTTTGAGAAATGGGACTAGTCAGGAAGATGGCCAGAAGTAATGCGAAGTCCGATCACCTGCCTTGTGCAGTAGCATATTCCAGAGAGGCTGTGGCTTGGACTGGGTTGCACAGGGCTGTTAGATGCTGATTTGTCCGAAGTTTAGCCTAGGTCGGGTAATAGAGGGGTCTGCTCTTTGTAGTCTTTGAGCCACAGACCCGCACAGAATTGCTATTCAGGCAGCTGATGTTTATCAGGCTGTTTATCCACAACAAAACGCATTGCCAGAGGCTTTCCAGCACTGCGGTGCGCAGCAGGCTGCAGGAGAAGCAGCAGAATTGAAATAAGAGCTACGAAGGAAAGTTTTACTCGCTAATAACTTTCTGAAACGTGGGAGACTCTGCCGTTTGTCTTGGCCTGTGCATGGTTGAAATGGTCTAAAAGAAAACATTTGCTCCTGTGGTGGTGTTTGTCTTTTTTTTTTCAGATTGGACTGTGCATGGCACTGATACCATTGTAATCCAGGTATCATTAACAGGCAGAAAACCAGGAATGTTTTACACTGCAGCATCAGTCCAAGCAAAATGTACTGAGGAACTCTTGATGCCTCTTACAGCTACACCAATGCTCTGAAAGCATGGCTGGGTATATTCATTGCTATTTCACATATGGCTCTGTCTTTTTGTAAAAGTTTCCCAGCTATGCCAAGTTTAATGGTGATTTTATGACATACATAAGCATTAACAAAAACATAAGTAGAAATAGTTGAGGGGTTGTTATTTGGGTAGAAAACAGTGCCCTTTTCTAACAAGAGGTCACCCTCTGAAAAGCACAGACCTCCCTGTTTGATGTGTCAGATGCAGGCTGTATCTGCAGAGCTCTTAGGATAATCTCAGCAGATGGGCTTATTAAATGTATGAAGCTACTATGTGATTTTCTTACACTTTTCACTAAAAGGTTGTGCTAAATCTCTTCTTCCCTCTAGGTCCCCAAGCAGTGGAAGCACACAGCCAAAAATTTGAGGTGAAAACCCTCTCCGGAAAATTGCTGTTTTCTGCAGATGACAACGAAGTGGTGGTTGGAGCAGAGAGATTGAGAGTCTTAGGTAAAAGATTATTCACTAAATCACTGTTTTAATAAACGCCTCTTCAAATTTTAGAATAGTTTTGCCTAACTACCCCTCATGCTTGGGGAAAGCTTATTTTGGAGATAAAGCCTTTTGCTGTCTTTATTGCTTTGAATCTTCCCCAAGCAGATAATGGCCAGGAGTTTCTGTCTGAGGGGTTTCTTAACTTGCACAATGTGTTATTTCCCCTGCAGAAAAAAACTCCCCTGGAAGTGGTTTGTCTGGCTCAGTGAAGCAGCTTTAAAACCAGCTTTGGAAACTGAACAACTATCTCTTGGGTCTGGGATGAAGGACAGTGAGGGATCGCTGTAAGGATGCTTCTATGGCTGCAGTCACTGTGCGTAGGGAAACCTCAGGCTTCATATTTTTGATCCCACCACTTTCACCAGCTCCTCCTTCATTCTAAAGCGAACACCACGGAGGAGACCTGCAGTGAAAAAGTCAGCGCGAATTAGGATCTCATACTAATTCTCTGAATAGTTTGGTGTCCGTTATATTAGTTATCTTTCCTTAGCCACGTACGAGAGCACATTGTGCATCTCTGCGCCATCTTCAGCTATGCTGTGGGTGGGTTAAGCGCCCCGTGCACGGGAGCAGAGGCCAGCCTTACCAGTGCCACCCCTTCCCCGTCTGCCTTGCGAGACAGAGGGGGCAGCTTGAGCTCTCCTTTTGTCTGTGCAGGATCTGCCTCCCCAACTGTCCTGCCTGCTAGGCTTTACAGCGGTAGTTCCTAATAAAAACTGGGGATACACTTTGTTTGGGGGGTGGGGGTTGTTTATTGTTTGGGGTGGTTTTTTGTTTTTAAATTAGAGAAAAGAAACAGTTATGGTAATTGTAAAATTTTAAAATGTAGATAGTTACATGAAATTACCTCTTAGGAACTTGAATTCTCCAGCTCTCCAGTTCAATCCATGCTCTTTGGTTAGTCTAAGATTTGCTCATGAATGTTTTCATGTGGGACCGGACTGGGTAGCTCAGTATTGCTAGCAGTTAGTCACACAGCAGTGCCACTGGTCTCTGTAGATGCAGCGATACCTGTTTTCTAATGGCTTGATTTGGATGCATCTGTCCGCTCCAAATTGTTCCTGACTTCTCTAGTGAGCTCCTAAAAACAGAGAGATCAACAAAGGAGCTTAGAATGATATATAGTATTTTTATTATTATTTCTACATATTACATAGCATATTATCAATATATTATGTATAATTGAAAGGAGCTTAAAATGAGCACCTCAGAGTCTAACCATCATGAATGGGACTTTGTATCCAACCCTTAACGTTTTTTGTTACCTGATGTCGTGCTATTCTAGATGGTTCCTGTTTGTAGACAGGCCAGGTGTAGCTCTCTGCAGGTCACTGGTGTTACATACTGGACTAGTTCAGTCACCAGCTACACAAAGTTAGGTGAGTTTTATAGGATAAATGTTAAACTTCACAAAATTAACAGTATCTTTTTTAGCTTAGAACTTTGAAAAGGACCATTCACAATTCTTGCAGTGTTACAGAGCTGGGGAACATTCGTCACAATCCATGTTCTACCACAAATCTCCCTTCCCAGTGCACCCTTCAGAGCTGATTAATTGTACAGTCTTTGTGCAGGCTAGATATAGTCAGGAAGCAACAGGTTTTAAGTGTTTTCTTAGAGACCTTAAAATGAGAGAGATTTATATCATTGGTTCTTCAAAAAAAATAACAGAAACTTTTCCTTACAAGTTGCAAATGCTTCTTTTCAGATTACATACTTACAAAAATATTGGGTTTTATTTACGTTGTACTTTGGAGAAACCAGCAATTATTTTTGATAGTTATTTTGAGTTTCTGCCTTGTTTTAGTCTCCAGAATAAACAGCATCAAAAATATTGCAAACCACTCTAGTGCACTTTCATTTTTATCTGCAACTGAGTGTTTCTTGGGGTTTATTTGGCTTATGCAGATCTGTTGGAAAAGAAAAGGTAGAGTGATACCACTGGTGATGTTACATGGCGAGTATTTCAATGACCTTGAGCTGAAATGCTTTCAGAGTTCATGCTTGGCTTTGTTTTTCTCCAGCTTTGCTTCCCCAATCTAATTTTACCTCCAAAAGTGTTTGCCATGGCTGTTTGCCATGCTGGGAAGTGTTACACCATATGTTCGTATTTCTTCCAGTGTTTTTGTCTGCACTTGAGGCTAGTCCAACTTATAGTACACAGACAAATTCCTTTGATCATTTTTCTGGTGTTTGGGATCTCAGGTGCTGTCGGTATGTGTCTGCCGACACCTATCTACGCTATGTAAATAATCTCAACTTGTTATTGCTGAACATGTACTTGTTATAGAAGGAAGTGTATGTCTGGCATGAAAGTCATCTCACAGAGGTTAGAGCAGCAGTTATTGGGCTTGTGGCTAGCTTTTAATCTTGTTAATGATAATTACTTTTTTTCTTTGTACGCTCTTCAAAGTTGATTCTGAAAGTTTGTTCTACAAAGTAATGCTGAAGCCTTGTCATGAGAAAAGAGGCACTTTCCTTTTTTGAAATGGACTCTGTTCTAGGTAGCTAAAGGATTTTTCAACGTTAGCAAGGCATTAAAAAGGGAGGAATACATAGAATTATGGATTAAAAAAATACAAATAGGACATGTGCTGCATTTGATGGTGCTTCAAAAAATTGCACAGCATGGGTAGTGCAGCTTACCAAATGAAAGTGCTTTTTATTTTAATTGTATTTTGAGGGGTTATTTCTGATTTTTCACCATTAAAGGACACAGAGTTGGTCCCCTCTGCTTTTCATGCATGATGTCATTTAGAGTACTTCAATGATTTTATTTCATTTAGTGAATCCAGTCAAACGTGTCATCATAGGAGAGATTGGAGGATAACAGGAACTTCTGTTTGAGGACAAGGGCAGCTCTCTGGGCCCTTTGGCCATGGTCAGCTCTGATAACATCTACACAACCTTTTCCAGACACAAGCACGAATTCCCTCTACCTTGTTTAAAGCCAGCCGGGAGCTCAGCAGCTGCATTTGTCCAGATGACTCAGAAGGAGCTCATGTTTGCCTACAAAAAGTCATGTAGAAACTGAGCCTTATGCCAAATCTGGTCTGCCCTTTTTCTTCCAAGCTCATCTGCCACTGCCTGCAATTGCCCAGCCATCTCCTCCACTTTTGTGGTGGGATTGGATGACAGCACATCCTCACTGTTAGCACGACTTTCTTTTACAAGCTTCATTCCTGAGGTATTTGAGCACCTCATGGTCTTTTAAAAGATACTACAGCAAACCTCGGAGCCGTTCTCATTCCTCAGAACAGTGACTCTGGTTTTGCAAGGCTTAGATTTTGAAGGCAAAATCTGCCACTTCTCTGCCTGCTAAACAGCACCATAGTGCTGCTCCTGGGGTTGTGCGTGGCATAAAGTGCAAACCTTCCCTGCACTGGCCATTGCTACAGTCAGCAGTGCACTTTGGCAAACACCACATAGATGCAAACTGATGCCTCGCTGGATGTCCCCCGTGGGCTCATAAACACATACGGTCTGTGTTATGGGAGATGAATGAGCTGGTCCTAATTGAATTCATATGTGGTACGTCATACGGCGGTTCTCCTTCCCCTCTCCTCCCTCCCTCCAGAAATGAAACGTGTCCGGATCGTCTGAAAAATGGTGCGTAAGAAATACTCTTTAGTTAAAAGAGCATTAAAAAATAACTTTGATATACATTAATTACCAATTTCATTTAATAGCATATTGAACATTGTAGCATTTATAAACAAAAGACAATCATAAAGCATTATTCTGACTGTTAATTAGCTCTATTTATTCTCCAGATTAGTTTTTAAATATGCCCTCTAGATGCCACTTGATACTAATTAACAGAGTTACATTATTATCTCTCTAGAAAAGCATTTTTAATTAAATCTAAAGCAATTTAAATTAGCATGATTTTTTACAGAAATTAAACTCTGGTCAGATGCTTAATTTAGCTTTATAAGACAACATCTGATGACATGCCAGTGTCAGTTCTCCCAAACGCCTTGACATCTTTTTTGGAGATTATTTTCTGAAGTTTTGTTTCAGGGAAACTTTCCAGTATATTCCGGTGTTTCAGTATATTCCGGTGTTTAATAGTGATGATGGATTCAAACAATTTTTTTTAAGACTAAATATAGATGGGAATCCACATGCATTGCAGTGAGCTGAGATAAAAACACAAAAGACGCATTCCTGCAGCTTACAGGCTTTCGCAGTCCCTGGCATTGAGTGGTGGAGGAAGGTTTGCGTGGGAGGTAGGATTGCATGGGCTGGATGCTGTCCCGTTAGAAATTAACCACGCTTTTTAACTACTCTTAAGATTACCATTTTGCTTTGCAATAAGGATGGGATTAATCATAAAACCACAGGGTCCCTTTTCTGTAATAGAAGAATACAGGGACAAAAATTGCTCCCACTCTGGGTCCCTGGAAAATGTGCCTCTCACTTAGATATTTATACTACCATAGCGTAGACTTTTCTTCTAATATAGCCTAATGATAAAAAATTTGGCTAAAGCCTTTCCCTCTGGCAAACACTAACTAAAATAGCTGTATTTAGAGCGGGGTAGGACGCCTGTCATCTCCCAGTATAAAGACTGCAGGAGCTTCTCTGCAGGAGACGTGTGACCCAGCCGCCACACACTGCAGTCCTCCCCAGCACCACGGCTGGCTAAAGCGTACCTTTGATCTCGCCATCCCCTTGCATGCCCTCCCTTCAAATAATCAGCCAGTAGCTCTATTTCTACCTTGTAGCTTTTTTCCGCTGTAGCATATTCCTTCTGGGCGATGAACCATGTGGAGCATGCAAATGCTGACCACAGGTTAGACTTTCAGGAATGTTAGTTTGGCAGCATTTTTTTTTTCTAGTTTCTCTCCAGGTGCCTGGGAATGCACCTGAAAAGAGGAGTCAGCCGTTGAAATGTTATTGCAAATTTATTAATAAGTTTGGAGTAATTAATTCCAAGGCACATTTTCAGC